TCAGAGCAAGTAGAAGGAAGGAAATAGTAAAGATCAGAGCAGAAATAAACGACATAGAGACCAAAAAAAAATTCAAAGGATCAATGAAACAAAGAGTTGGTTTTTCAAAAAGATAAACAAGATTGATGGACCCTTAGCCAGTCTCACCAAGAAACAAAGAGAGAGAACCCAAATACACAAAATCAGAAATGAAAGAGGAGAAGTAACAACTGACACCACAGAAATACAAAAGATCGTTAACAACTACTATGAACAATTATATGGCAACAAATTTGACAATCTAAGCGAAATGGACAAATTTCTAGAAACACATAGTCTCCCAAAACTGGTCCAGGAAGAGATAGAAAACTTGAACAGACCAATAACAACAGAAGAAATCGAAGATGTAATCAGCACTCTCCCAGCAAACAAAAGCCCAGACCCGGATGGCTTCACGGGGGAGTTTTACCGAACATTCAAAGAAGAGCTTACACCCATTCTCCCAAACTATTTCAAAAGAATCAAGAAAAAGAAAGACTTCTAAACTCGTTTTATGAAGCCAGCATAATTCTAATTCCAAAACCAGAAAAAGACACTACAAAAAAAGAAAACTACAGGCCAATATCCCTGATGAACATAGACGCCAAAATCCTGAACAAAATACTAGCAAATCGGCTCCAGCAATACACCAAGAAAATTATCCACCATGACCAAGTGGGATTCATCCCAAGGATGCAAGGCTGGTACAATATTCACAAATCAATAAACGTGATACACCACATAAATAAAATGAAGAATAAAAACCACATGATTATATCAGATGCCAAAAAAGCCTTCGACAAAATCCAGCATCCATTTCTGATAAAAACGCTCACAATGTGGAAATAGAGGGATCATATCTAGACATAATAAAGGCTATATATGAAAGACCTACAGCCAACATCATACTCAATGGGCAAAAACTAAAAGCATTTCCCTTAAGAACAGGAATAAGACAGGGATGCCCACTTTCGCCACTCTTATTTAACATAGTATTGGAAGTCTTAGCCACAGCAATCAGACAGGAAGAAAAAATAAAAGGGATCCAGCCCTGGCCAGTTTGGCTCAGCGGTTAGAGCGTCGGCCTGCGGTCCACAGAGACCCGGGTTCGGTTCCCGCTAAGGGCACGTACTTCGGTTGCAGTTTGTCCCCGGCCCTGGTTGGTCGTGCGGGTGGCAGCCACTCGATGTGTCCCTTCACATCGATGTTTCTCTCTCTCTCTCCCTTCCTCTCTCTCTCTCCCACTCTATCTGTACAAAAAATGGAAAAATGTCCTCGGGTGAGGATAAAAAAAATAAAAGGGATCCAAATTGGAAAGGAGGAAGTGAAACTGTCATTATTTGCAGATGACATGATACTGTATGTAGAAAACCCCAAAGACTCCATCAAAAATTTACTAGACTTAATAAACGAATTTGGCAAAGTAACAGGATACAAAATTAACGTCAAGAAATCGATGGCATTCTTTTTTTTTTATCCTCACCCGAGGACATTTTTCGATATTTTGTTCAGATAGAGTGGGAGGGAGAGAGAGGAAGAGAGAGAGAGAGAAACATCGACATGAAAGGGACACATCGAGTGGCTGCCACCCGCACGACCTGACCAGGGCCGGGGACAAACTGCAGCCGAAGAACATGTCCTTAGTGGGAACCGAACCCAGGTCTCTGTAGACCGCAGGCCAACCCTCTAACCGCTGAGCCAAACCGGCCAGGGCTCGATGGCATTCTTATACACCAAGGATGAACTCACAGAAAGAGAAACTAAGAAAACAATCCCATTTACCATTGTGGCAAAAAAATTAAGATACCTAGGAATAAACTTAACCAAAGAATTAAAGGACCTATTCACAGAAAACTACAGGTCATTGAAAAAAGAAATAGAGGAAGATATAAAAAAGTGGAAGCACATACCCTGTTCATGGACTGGGAGAATTAACATCATTAAAATGTTCATATTACCCAAAGCAATCTATAGATTCAATGCAATCCCCATCAAAATACCAATGGCATACTTCACAGAATTAGAATAAGTACTGCAAAAGTTCATATGGAACCAAAAAAGACCTCGAATAGCCACAGCAATCTTGAAAAGGAAGAACAAGTTGGAGGGATCACATTCCCAGATTTCAGGTTATACTACAAAGCCACCGTAATCAAAACAATGTAATCTTGTGATACTGGCACAAGAACAGGCATATAGACCAGTGGAACAGAACAGAGAACCCATAAATGGGCAAGGCAATATGCTCAATTAATATTTGACAAAGGTGGCAAGAGCATACAGTGGAGTAAGGACAGCTTCTTTAATAAATGGTGCTAGCCCTGGCCAGTTTGGCTCAGCGGTTGGAGCGTCGGCCTGCGGTACAGAGAGACCCGAGTTCGGTTCCTGCTAAGGGCACATACCTCGGTTGCAGTTTGTCCCCGGCCCTGGTTGGTCGTGTGGGTGGCAACCACTCGATGTGTCCCTTCACATCGATGTTTCTCTCTCTCTCTCTTCCTCTCTCTCCCTCCCGCTCTGTCTGAACAAAAAATGCAAAAATGTCCTCGGGTGAGGATTAAATAAATAAATAAATAAATAGTGCTGGGAAAATTGGACAGCTACATGCAGAAAAATGAAACTAGACCATCAGCTTACATCCTACACAAGAATAAACTCAAAATGGATAAAAGACTTAAATGTGACTCATGAATCCATAAAAATCCTAAAGTGGGCATCCCTGTCTTGTTCCTGTTCTTAAGGGAAATGCTTTTAGTTTTTGCCCATTGAGTATGATGTTGGCTGTAGGTCTTTCATATATAGCCTCTATTATGTCTAGATATGATCCCTCTATTTCCACATTGCTGAGCGTTTTTATCAGCAATTGTAGGCAACAAAATTTCAGACATCATATGCAGCAGAATTTTTACTGATATATCACCTAAGGCAATAGAAACGAAGGAGAAAATGAACACATGGGACTACATCAAACTCAAAAGCTTCTGCACAGCAAAAGATACAATCATCAAAACGGAAAGGCTACCCACTGTATTGGAGAGCATAATTGCCAATGGTATATCAGATAAGGGGTTAATTTTCAATATATATAGAGTGCTCATACAACTCCACAAAAGGAAGACGAACCCAATTAAAAAATGGGCAGAGGAACTAAATAGACACCTCTCCAAACAGGACATACAAATGGCTAAGAGACATATGAAGAAATGCTCATTTCAGACATCATATGCAGCAGAATTTTTACTGATATATCACCTAAGGCAATAGAAACGAAGGAGAAAATGAACACATGGGACTACATCAAACTCAAAAGCTTCTGCACAGCAAAAGATACAATCATCAAAACAGAAAGGCTACCCACTGTATGGGAGAGCATAATTGCCAATGGTATATCAGATAAGGGGTTAATTTTCAATATATATAGAGTGCTCATACAACTCCACAAAAGGAAGACAAGAACCCAATTAAAAAATGGGCAGAGGAACTAAATAGACACCTCTCCAAACAGGACATACAAATGGCTAAGAGACATATGAAGAAATGCTCATCATCACTAGTCATCAGAGAGATGCAAATTAAAACAACAATGAGGTATCACCTCACACTTGTCAGAATGGCCGCCATCAACAAATCATCAAACAACAAGTGTTGGCGAGGGTGCGGAGAAAAGGGGACTCTAGTACACTGCTGGTGGGAATGCAGACTGCTGCAGCCACTACGGAAAACAATATGGTGTTACCTCAAAAAATTAAAAATTGAACTTCCATTTGACCCAGTGATGCCACTTTTAGGAATATACCCTAAGAAGCCTGAAACACCAATCAGAAAGAATATATGTACCCCCATATCTGTAGCAGCACTATTTACAATAGCTAAGATCTGGAAACAGCTCAAGTGTCCATCAGTAGACAAATGGATAAAAAATCAGTGGTACATATACACAATGGAGTACTATGCAGCTGTAAGAAAGAAAGATCTCTTATCCTTGGAGACTACATGGAGGGACTTGGAAAGTATCATCCTAAGTGAAACAAGCCAAGCAGAGAAAGACAAGTATCATACGATCTCACGTATTTGTGGAATATGATGAACATAACAGTCTGAGGAATGGGGTAGTCACAGAGACATGGAAGTGGGGTACAGACTGACAATCCCCAGAAGAGGGGGTGGGGGGGAGAGATAAACCACAGAACTTATATGCATGTATGCATGAACAGTGGACATGGACAACAAACTGGGGAAGGGACAGGGAGGAAGGGGGAGGGGGAATCAGTGGGGGGAAAAGGAGAAACATCTGTAACAAAAATTAATTAATAAAACATAAATAAATTTATAAAAATGTCACAATAGTAGTAAAATGGTTTTCCTTTGCCATCTAGGAAGATGCTACTTGTTCTTAATAAACATGGATTGTGAAAAGCGAGGTCTGTGTCTTCCTGCTCATCCAAGTCCAAAAATGCTGACATTTTAGTTTCCAGTGGTGACGGCCATGGAGCTATCAAAGTATTTTTCTCGGCTTCCTCCCTTTAGTGTTCTTAGAATGAACCACCAACATTTAGGGCATCCTAGGATGTCCTTGCTGGAAAGAACCCAAGGAACAGAGAAGTGTCACCTCTCTTTCTCTCTCTCTTCCCCCCCATTCACCAGACATGAATTAATAGTAAAATCATTTCCTCTCTTCTTGGTTCTCTAGTTGTATTATAGAACACTTCAACGGTAAGGCTGTGTCTTCTCTTTGTTGCTCCACCCACTCCCCCGCCAAGCCTCCTCAGGAAGTGAAGAAGTTGAGGTATCTTGATATTAACCATTAAAGCAGTGTGGTTGATTACTTGCCCGCTCATCTAATTTAAATGATTGTTCCCTTTCTGGTTCACAGATTATGGCTCTACCATGCTCCTTGGGGCAATAAATACCAGTCTGGACTTCCCAGGGTAGAGACCTGTGCTTGACTTGCCAGCTTAGAAGCTTCCTATCTTCTCCCATCATTCATGAAGCTCATTCTTCTGGTTTTGACTGTTACCCTGCCACTGGCCCAGGTCACCAAAGGTAACCTGAATCTCTCCCAAGGGGTAGTGGGTTAGGGAACCTAATGCCTATTCAGGAAATGCTGGGGCTCTAATAGCTTGGCCTGGGAGAAAGGTCTGGCAGGCTCCACAGAGGCTGTTGGATGATCCCTCTAGCTAAGGAGACATTTCAGTTCTCTGGTACCAACTGATCTCGTAGTGCCATTACTTGACCACACTGAACTGCTGTCTTTAGTTTGTTTAGAAGAAGTCAAACATGACTTTGGGGGCAGGGTACAAGGAGGACAGAGACTTGAGCATGGAGTATAGAGAAAATGGGAGCTTTTTCGAGACATTCATTGGGGGATTTGAATTTTGATCTCTCATTGCCTCCATGGAAATGGTTTGTGGGTTTCTGATTAATTTGAGGATTATGATTCCACTGTCTTATGTGGCCTCATTTTACCTGGGCTTCTTTAGGTAGTAGGTTCCCAAGAACAATTATTCCTAATTATCTTGGCTAGTTAAGACCAGCAAAAAGTCCCAGGATATTGGGAGAAGGAGGTGTGACTTGCAGATGTCCAGATGGGTATATTTCAGATTCCTGTCCCTTTTCATTGACATGGTCAGAAAGGTACCGAAGGACAAAGGGAAAGGTAGCTAAATGACATTGGGCACCTGGGCACATTATAATATGAGGGAGATGAAACCCTGGAGAGAGGGGCACCCCTTGCCTTCACAAAGGGAGCAGCCATGGGAAGCTGCCTAGTAGGCTCCAGGCCACTGAGTGGGGAGGCCTTTGAGGTTGTGACTGGAAACGCAAGTGGGAAAAGAAAGGATAGTGACCTATAGTCTCACCTGAAGGATGCCTTGTGAGGGCTTCTTCCCCACATATCTCCTTATTTCCCTAACCACTGTGTTCTCTACTTTGGCCTCCCCCTTCCCCAGTTCTCTGCTTTATTTCAAGACTAAACTTGCCCCCTCTTTCCCTTTTAATTTTAGTCATGAAGTGTTGGGGTAAGTTGGGAATTTGCAGAATCTTTTGTGAAAAGAATGAAGCATTCTACATATTATGCAATACTGAAGCTCAATGCTGTGTGAATCCGAAGTTCTTACCTGTCAAGACTAAATACTCAAATGTAGCTCGAAGCCTGGAAACACCTTCTGCAGTCTGACAGCTCTTATCCAACATGAGCCTATCACTGGACCCCACAGTTCTATTAAATCATTCTTGGCTGTACCTTCTTTGTGTTTGGCAGTTCCACCGGGTTGTACTTAGAAATAAGTAGGAAGGAAGGAAGGAAGGTGTGTGGGGGTATTAAGAAGAACAGGATGAACCAGTGGGTGGTAATAATCTCAGTCTTGCACATAGCTCTTAGTTTAATGGCCCTCATGGCCGATCCCAGGTGATATAAATAAGGAATGTCCATTCTATCCATTTGATTCTTGTTTTCTAGACCAGCACAATAGAACTTTCTGCAACAATGGAATTGTTCCACATCTCTGTTGTCCTATATGGTAACTGCTAGCCACAAGTGGTTGTAGAGCTCTTGAAGTGTGGCTAGTATGACTGGGGAACTAAATTTTTAATTGAATTTAATCTATAGTTAACTTTATATAGCTAAATGTAGCTAGTGATTATTTTATTGGACAATGTAGTTTTAGAATCTAGAGCTATACGGCTGAAGCAGGTGATAAGGCTCAATATCTGGGTATTTTAGGCTAAGTCAAAGAGGCAAGCAAGAATGTGTGATGAACAAAAAAATTCATTCTTAGCCTGTTGCGTCTCTTTCTATACTTTAACATCAAAGGCTGCAACTCTCCCCTGGTAATACTTGCAGTTCTATTCTGTTAGGGACTCCAGGATGGTGTCTCATAAATGTTCTTGGAGAGAACTGGTGTCAGACCCTATGTGGATTCCTGCTCCATCCCACCACCCCCCTAGTTGGGCCACATGACATTGAACAGTTGGCTAGTCCTTTTCCAGGATGGATCCTGAATTGGGACAACTGGAGTTTACCATCACCAGCCCCCTAATTTGGGTCTTGGACCCAAGTATTTCCAACCCTTGCTACTTATCTGATTAATAAAAAAGAACTTGATTTTTTACCCTGAGTTGGAAAGTTCTGTTCACAGTCACCTGCCTACTATCCAGTCCCTTTATATAAAAACACTGAAACTTGCCTCAGCCTAGTGGCTTGACTTAGTCATTCCCAGCACTTTTTTTTTTATTAGAAAAAAAATTACAGTTGGCCTTCATTTTTCGCGGTTAATCAGTTCCACACTCTACCGCAATAAATGAATATCCATGAAGTAGAATTCTTTATTTATATATAGTATATATAATATAGTATTCGAAAAAATCACGATAGAGTGAAGCCACGAAAGTCGAAGCATGAAGTGGTGAGGGACCACTGATTTTTAGAGAGAGAGGAAGGGAAAGCAAGAAACATTGATTTGTTTTTCCACTTATTTATACATTCATTGGTTGATTCTAGCATGTGCCCTGACCGGGGATCAAACCCACAATCTTGGTTTGTTGGGATGATGCTCTAACCAGCTGAGCTATCTGGTTAGGGCCCTAGCATACATTTTTTATGAAAACCTCCAGCTGCAGGTGTCTAAGTGTCACTGAAGCTATCAAAGGAAGAGCATTGGATTCAGAATCAGAAGATCTGGGTTCAAATCCTCACTTGATTACTTATCAGCTGCATGACCATAGACAAGCCATTTAATCCTTTCTGCTTTATTTTCTCATCTCTAAAATGAGGATGTACCTTACCCAAGGCACAGAGTTTTCATGACAATTAAATGAAAGAACAGACAGGAAAGTGCCCAGTACAGAGTCTAGCACATATTCAGTTCCTGATAAGTGTGAGTTGGATCTACATTGACCTCACTCCCTAATTTTCTCCATTTAGACTGTGTAAAAAAAAAAAAATTAAGATGCTCCTTCCTACTTTGCTCCAACTCTTACTCCCCAGAGTTAATTATTCTTCAAATTGAAATGAAGCCCTTGAGCCCACTACTTTTTTACTAATTATCTCAACCTCCTGATTTCACTTCCCTCTTGACTCAGCCTGGACATCATGATCTAGCCCCATAAGAGTTCCCTTGCAGACATTCTCAGCTCCCATGTTCCATACTGCCTGGTATCCACCTGTCAAATTCCCAACCTGGTGAATGTAACCACATGCTTGCCTTTTCCATTTGCACACTTTAGCAGCTGATTATTCTTGGAGAAAATTATCTAACTGGCCTCACTGATTTCACTGGAAATTCAGGGCCTCAAACCTCAAACAGCATTTAACACTGCCCAGCTAATCTCCTATATTCTTCTTAGAAGTTTGGTTTCTCACTCTCTGAAATGACTAATGCATTTGTTTCCTGTCTCATTAACCTTCTATCACTTCCTCTCTCTAAAACATTACCCCTTGTCCTGACTGTATGGCTGAGTTGGTTGGGGCATCGCCCTGTACACCAAAAAGTTGCGGGTTTGAGTCCTGGTCAGTGTACATACCTGGGTTATGGGTTTGATCCCCTGTTGGGTTGTATGTAGGGGGAAACTGATTAATGTCTCTCTCTCTGTCTCAAATCAATAAAATATATCCTCGGGTGAGGATAAAAAAATAAAATATCACTCCTTGCCTCATATTTCAAGAAAATAGAAACCATCAGAACCAACTCCATCTTCTCTTTACTAAGTCTGCTTACTCTTGCATCTGGTTCTACAACTTCCTTTTGTTTACATTGGAAGAATGGAGGCTGCTCCAGAGAATCCAACCCCTCCACTTGTCCACATCTCCCTCCTCCCCCTACTCAAGGACTTCATCTTCAAGTATTCTCTTCATTCTCCCTTCTTATTATATTATTATACAAAGATGCTCTAGTATCTCCAATCTCAAAACAAAATATCCTTCTCTGGACAATGCCTCCTTTCTTGTTAATTCTTCGAAGAAAATTTCCCGAAATGTTGTCTGGCTTCACTTTCCCCATTTTCTCATTTCCCATTTAGTTTTTTTTTTTTTTTTTTTGCATTTATCTTCAGATAGAGTGGAAGGGAGAGAGGGAGTAAGACAGAGAGAGAAACATCGATGTGAGAGAGACACATCAAGTGGTTGCCACCCACACGACCCTAACCGGGGCCAGGGACAAACTGCAACAGAGGTATGTGCCCTTAGCGGGAACCCAACCCGGGACTCTCTGGTCCGTGGGCCGATGTTCCGACCGCTGAGCCAAACCGGCCAGGGCCCCTTCCCATCTTCTATCCAGGCTCTTCCTTCCCTTCCCAAGCACCAGGGTTTGTTTCTAGTCTCTTTTCTCTTTATTTTATTTATTTTTTACTAGGTGCTTTGAACACTTTTATCCTGATCACTTCCAAATTCATATCTCTAACCCCAGACTTTCTCAAACCTCTAGACTGACATATCCACCTTCTTAAGTGACATCTCCATTTGGAAGCCTAATGTATCCAGATGGAAACTTCTGGTGGAGACCTCACTTCCCCATGCCTTGTTCTATCCTATTATCTCCTTCTTCAGAAAACAGTAACAACATGAGCCCAGTTGCTCCAAACCTAGAAGTCATCTTTGGTTCCTTACTTTGCCTCACTCCATTCGATTTGTCAGCATGTCCTGGGGCTCTGATCTCAAAATACATCTCAAGACCAACCATCTCTTTCCATCTGTTGAAACCACTGTCATCTTAATCTGAATCCCTACAATAGTCTCCTAACTGGTTTCTCATTTAATCCTCTAATTAATTTTCCACACAGAAGCCAAACATTAAATTATATCCTGTTGCTGTTCTGTTTAACGTCACATAATGGCTTCCTGTTTCACCAAGAATAAAGTCTAAGTTCCTATGCTGGCCTGTGAGGCCTGCCTGGCTTGGCATTGCTTACCCCTGTGGCCTTGCTTACCTCTGGCTTTCGTTCCTCCTTACACTCAGGTCTCTCCAGCCTCCTTTCTGTTCCTTCATGTCAAAAACCTCTTTCCTGCTTTCCGGCTTTGCTATAGGCCATTCCTTCTGCCTATGAGGGCTCTTTCTCTGGTATCTGTATGGTTGTTTTGTCCCATCTTCCAGGCCTTAATTTAAATGTCATCCTTGATTATCACATCTAAAAAGGTCCTTTATATCACTTTGCCAATGTTTTTCTTAGCACCTTTCAAAAATCAATAATTATTTTGTTCATTTACTTATTTGTTTTCTATCTGCCCAGGAGAATTTGAATTTCATGACAGTAAGGTCCTTGTCAGTTTTGCTCACCATTCTATTCTTGGTGCCTGGAACATAGTAAGAATGCAAATCAGACTTGCTAACTCTATGGATATTTAAAGTCCACGAATGTTACTTTCCCACTCAAGTGGGTCTCTCTTCCAAAATGCTCCTGCTTTACTATTGTCTGAGATATAAGACTCTATGAAGCTTTCCTCCTCGGTTCTTAAATCAAACCCGCCATCCAGGCCCCTTGATTCTTTCTCTGCACTGGCTTTACACAAATCCCACTTTTCTTCACTGTTTTCAGGGCTGCTCTCTCAGCTCAGTTCCTCGTTAGCATCCTCCCTCCTATTTCCTCATACTCCAGGCCTTTTACCTGGAGTTTTGCTATTGATATTTTTATCTCCCTGCCAAGCCAGAATGTCTGACATTCTGGCATCCACTCTTACAAGGAGTCTTCATTGAATTGAGCAACATTCCCTCAGTGGTGGTGAAACACTTTATATTTATTATTGAATGTGATGGTCAAAGTTCATCAGAGACAAAAAAGGTAGAAAGGAAATTTCTTAGAAAGATAACATATAGCTCATAGAACTAACTGGGAGTCTAGACAATTGGGCTTGGAAGAACCAAGGGAGAGTGGGTAGCAAGAATAACCTACCAAGATCCCACCAGCAGTATGGCCATCCTGGCACTGGACAACAACATTACACTTGAACTCTTGCTATTATTGCTGACACCATGTGAATATTTTTTTCATCTTTCCTGTGGTATTGACTTAGTCTTTTAAAATTCAGAGTCCTTTGTTAGAGCATCCAGTTGGCTAAGCCTGGGTCATGTGCCTGCCTGATAACTTCCAAGATAGCACAGATGAATATTTGTCTTTAGTGCTTCCTGTAGTGGGAGGTCAGTCCTCCTTTCTATCAAGACACAAAGAATGGAGACTTACTCCCAG